AATATAAAAATTCAAAACTATAAAAATTAGTAATTTATAAAAATATGAAAAAAATAAAAATTCAAAAATATAAAATATCGATTTATATAAAAAATTAAAAAATGTAAAAAATTTTAAAAATTTGAAATTTTGAAACGACGAACGACGAGAGGCCTATGAAAAACGAAAAACGTTGATGGACGATCGACGAATAATGACAGGCGAACGACGAAGCAAAAACAACGAACGGCGTTCGACGTTCGACGAACAACAAACGATACCAACGAAGGATGAACGATCGTTTACGTGTACGTAAAGCGAACGGGAAATGGCGAACGACCAACATAGAGTGACATTATACAAAAGAACGAAGATTGACGAACGAGGAAAGACCAAAAACAACAAAAGGTGAAACAATGAAAAATATAAAATTGGAATAATATAAAAATACGTAAAATAAAAAAATGCAAAACCATAAAAGTTTGAAATTTATAAAAATTTTAAAAATATAAAAATTCGAAAAATATAAAAATTCAAAAATATAAATTATCGATTTATATAAAAAATTGAAAAATGTAAAAATTTAAAAAATTAAAATTTTGAAACGACGAACGACGACAGTCGAATGACGAACAAAGAACGTCGATGGACGATCGACGAACGATGACAGACGAAAGACGAAGCACAAAACACGAACAGCGTTAAAGATCGACGAACAACAAACGACGATGAAAGAACAAAATACACCAAACAGTAAATGGCGATCGATAATACAGGAACGACCACCAATCGACAAGCGACGAAAACACTGACGAGAAGAAAAGAAGAACGAGAAAACACCAGAACAACAAAAGTGGAAACAATGAAAATTATCAAATTAGTAACATATAAAATTCGAAAAATATAAAAATTCAAAAAATATAAGTTCGGAACTATAAAAATTCGAAAAATATAAAAATTCATAAAATATAAAAATTCAAAACTATTAAAATTAGAAATTTATGAAAATATGAAAAAAATAAAAATTCAAAAAATTCAAAAATATAAAATATCGATATATATATAAAAAATTGAAAAATGTAAAAATTTTAAAAATTTAAAATTTTGAAACGACGAACGACGACAGGCGTAAGACGAACAAAGAACGTCGATGGACGATCGACGAACGATGACAGACGAAAGACGAAGCACAAAACACGAACAGCGTTAAAGATCGACGAACAACAAACGACGATGAATGAACAAAATACACGAAACAGTAAACGGCGATCGATAATACAGGAACGAGCACCAATCGACAAGCGACGAAAACACTGACGAGAAGAAAAGAAGAACGAGAAAACACCAGAACAACAAAAGTGGAAACAATGAAAATTATCAAATTAGTAACATATAAAAATTCAAAAAATATAAAAATTCAAAAAAGATAAAAATTCGAAACTATAAAAATTCGAAAAGTATAAAAATTCATAAAATATAAAAATACAAAACTATAAAAATTAGTAATTTATAAAAATATGAAAAAAATAAAAATTCAAAAAAATTCAAAAATATAAAATATCGATTATATAAAAAATTGAAAAAAGTAAAAATTAGAAAAATAAAAAATTTTTAAACGACAAATGACGAGAGGCCTATGCCAAACGAAAAACGTTGATGGACGTTCGACGAACAATGACAGGCGAACGACGAAGCAAAAACAACG